TCTGTACACCAAATTTTCAGTAGTAGAAGAAGAAGAAGAAAAGGTGTTTTGCAGTGTGCAGCTTCTTCTACCACGACTGGCCTCATTTGAGAGTGGTCAACTGCCTCCTAGACAGATGGAAGTGCTTACAGTCCACTTTTATCTATGCAAATGCACCAAAGCCGTGGGTGTTGAGGAAAGTAAATGCTCATTTGCGTTTGTTTTGCTGGCAATATAAGAGCCAGCTATGCCTTCCTGCTGTTTTGTACCAAATCAGTGAAATTACTTGGTCACCAAAGACAAAGCACAAAGTCCTGAGAAACAGAATCTACCTCTCGAAGGTCTGTGGATGTTTTGTTTCTCCCTCACTCTGGAGGGGAGTGTGTGCATTCAGCATTTTTGATCCTGCAGTGTAATCGAGCGTCTCCTTGTTTGGAGAACCGCCGAGGGATTGAAGCACCATCCATCAGACCTCCCTCGCTCTCTGGACTGTCCGGCCATTTTACATGTGGCTGAGTCCGGGCCTGGAAGAAAAGTTTTCATTCTCGCGACGAGCTTGTGTTTGAGGCTGGTTTATGACTTTCTCATCACAGCCAGCGTGCTACGAAATTTACCTTCACTTAAAGGGAAATGTATTATATGTGCACCTTAAAAAACCCCAAACAAAAACAAATAAAACAGCAAGCAGTTTACGGAAGAATGTTTTGCACTGAAATTGCTCTAAAATCTGACCATCTCAAGCTGCACTGTCCCATGCATTGCTCTCAGCTGGATCAACCTTTGTGGTTCATTGTAACAAGCATGCCAACAGAATCATTAATATGTTTTGACCCCCTCCTACGCCTGGTCAAAGGAAGGCCTATAGGCCAAAAGTGCTGTTGGCCTGTTTAGCATAAAATGAGTGCATTAATACCGGGAGACTCAATTATTTTACAAATAGTTTGGTTGACACTGTAGGTTATGAGAATCTGCCAACTTTGAAGACCTTTAGCTAGAGGCAGTGCTGGCTTTGGCACTAATTATGGACAACACTATGGCATGGATGACTGGAAGTTACGTGTGCATTCAAAATGCTTTTTAAACTGTCTTTGGGGTAACATAACACACAGGAGGAGTGAATTATATGCAAATTTATTGATTTATGTACTTTGTGTTTTGATGGTTTTTTTGTTTTAAATTTTAGTTCCAAGAATCACAAAAAGAAGGAAATCAAACCTAAAACTGTAACACAGATTGTTACATTTTAGGAGTGTATGACTGCATTTCTGTGTTTTTGAGGTAAGAGCTCACATGCCTCCAAAAACCTTTCATGACACGACGTTATGATTGCTATGATTTTTAGCTCAAACCCAGCTCTCCGTCTGCTCTTTGGTAGATCCAGACGATTTTCTTTACCCATAATCCCCCTGCTGACTCCTTCCCCTTTCTCTCACCTGATTAGAATTTCTGCCGTGGCCTCTGGGATTGGATGATTTCGACATATTTTATTTAACTGCTTTTGTAAGCCCTAATAATCAGCAGCTGTGATCTATGGCTGAATTACAATTTTCAGGGTCAAGGAGGGACTTGTGGTTGTGGAAAAGGGGTGGGTACGACCGGCTGCGCAGGTGGGTGTGTGCGTATGTACGATGGCGAGAAGGGGAAGGGGAAGTGGGGGGAAAAAGGAAAAAAACAGAGAGGAAAAAGGGAAGGAAGACTCTCACGAGTTGTCTTTAAAAATGAATGAGAAAATGGGTAATCCCCGAGTCACAGCATGAAAAGAGGGAAAATCAATATGGCCTCTCAGTTCACTTGGGCCCTCACAAGTCCTTGAGATGAACAAAAAGTTGTGCATTTTGTTGCCACATCCATATGTCTCAATAGAGCGGTGTGTGTTTGTGTGTAAAACTAAGCGAGTGTGTGTGTGTGTGTGTGTGTGTGAAGAGTAAGCCTGTCTGCAAGGCTGTTTGTGTTGAGAACAGCATAAAGGTGAAGGAAGGCCTGGTTCATATTGTGCAGGGTGAGTGGTAAATGCCTATAAACAGTGTTATCACTTGCAGTGCTGTGCAAAAGTCTTGAGCCATCTTTCATTTTTGCATATTTTGCTAGGAAAATGGGAAATAGGTGAGGTGATTTATTGAAACGTACGTGTAAATAAAGTGTATATAAGGCAAAGACAAAGTTTGTTTAACTCTAACAAGCTTGGAAGTCAATATTTGGTTTGAGTGTGTGTTTGTGTGGTGGGGTGGTGGGGGTTCAATCCAGGTATGCTTTAACTACATTATCAGTAAGTTTGGGATAATTGTCATGCTGAAAAATTAAGCTGTTGCCAATCAGATGCTTTCTAGTTAGTATTTCATGGTAAATCAAAATGTGTTGGTACTTTATCAACTTTGACATCATCCCCAACACTTCTGGCTGAAATGCAGCTCCAAACCATGACAGAGCCTCCACAGTGTTCTACAGATGGCTGTAGACTTACTGTTGTAGTTCTCTTGACGTCTTCAAAACATCTTATAATTATTGTAGCATTTAGATGAGTCCCCCATTTTTTCTCAGAGAAGTTAATCAATCTTGACAAAACTTACTATAAAAACTGCCTAGGCTACCAGTATTCTCAACATCTATATAGTTTTTGAGAATGATTTAAATAACACTCAAATAAATAATAATTACATAGATTATGTGTAGTAGCTGATCTCCAAAAAACTAACAAACAAATGCCCATAGGGTGAGTCTTTGATAGTATTAACAATGATTTGAATTAGTAATTTATAATATAGATTAATGACTCCATAAGACCTCTTGCCACTCATTTTCACTCCAGTTCTTGTGTAATTTGGCATAACTCAGCCCTTTCTCCCCATTTACCTTTCTTAGGAACAGCTTCTTGAAAGTGACCCTTCCACTGAGACCATTTCTGGTGAGGCTTCAGCAAACAGTAGATGGATCAACTGGTCAGATGCATCTTCTGGTCCTGTGTGAGGTCTTTGCTGGATTTATTCCTATTTCTCAAGGACATGACTTTCAGATTCTGTCCATCAGCTGTAGAGTTTTTTTCCCCACACCTACCATTTCTTCTATTGTCCACCACTTCTCCAGTTATCTCAAATTGTATTACTGACACACTGCACACCATGCTGAGCTATGCCAGGTTTTCAGCTAATAGCTCTTTAGGAATCACCTTGTTAGTACAAAACTACTATTTTGTCTCCTGTATTTTTTGTCAATTGGAAACAAATTACGTGCTTTGAGATAGGCTGCTACTAACAAAGTGCCTAAAGATACACTTTAACATTGGTCTTTGCTAAGTTGTCTGGTTTATCCCTTGAGTTAACTTCCTTTTTATGCTTATGATTATTCCACTGTTATTCATGACCCCTTTAAAAACTACAAGAAAGTCTGGCCATTTAAAAGTCAAGTATAAAGAAATAAGGCGTGGCTCCAGACTTTTGCTCAGTACTGTAACACTTATTATAAAATAGTTCTAGCTTATTTACTTATACTACTGATTAAAAGTACGTGAAGAACTTTTGCGTAAAATCTAAATGTTTTTCATTCACCGACTAAAAATGGCCACGCATTGTGCATATCTGCCATGCCCAATGACCCTTACCTGTGTAGAGGTTGAGGATTATTGCACTTGATCCCCAGCACACAAATAGGTGGTAGCCCCCATTCAAAAGACTCAAACTTTCTGGAATAGATGGAAAAAACTGGCTGGAGAGATCTGGGATTGGGTACCTTCTCATGAATATTTACCCCAAAACAACCACAAAAACCTCCCCACCCTTTGGTGCTGGAGGGGTAACGAGCTGATGTAAGTAGTGGAGTGGGGGTTGTTTCTCCTCAACAAACACATAGCTGTTTTTCTCTAACCTGGGCACTCTTCCATCTACCTGAATATCTTAAAGCAGAGGCTACCTCATAACTATCAAGTACACCTTCTCCATCCATCAATCCATCCATTCCCCACTCAACTACCCTTCTCCTCTGTGCTCTTACCCTAAGCGATGCCCACCCCCCTTCCCCAGTTCATTAGCGAGCTCCTCAGTAGCCTGTCATGGCGGATGTGCTCCATCAAAGCTGATCGACTCCTCGTTTTTCCAGAAAGATGTCGCGGGTTATCACCGCACGCTCAGATCTCTAGCTACGGGAGGAGCGTGACTGGCAGGCCGTCTTTTGAAGACAGTGATTCCTCCACTGATGCCTCCCAGTTGGAAATTTAGAATCGTGTCTGCTAAGACACCATATGCAAAGTAAATTACTGTACAAGGGCGAGCTCAACTAAACCCTCCTCTTTCAGAACGTCCAGGCCACTGAGTGCCTCCCAGGCAACCTGGGCTGCTTTGCACTCATTCCCACTTTTCTCCTTTTATGTTCTTTCTCTTTCTATCATTTGTCTTTTTAAAATGGACGGCAACACAGGAGAAACCATACAAGACAAACGCGCAGCAGTCACAGAATGCGCTCATTCTCACTGCTCAATTGCAATGATAGAAATCCATTTAACAAAAAATATAAATAGAATAATCTCCAGCATGTCATAAAATATCTGCTTGGACACATTGTAGCATACTGATGAGGCAGTTAAAGGGACCAAAAGAATAAAAAGTGGGGGGAAAAAGATCCACTGACAGCTCTATTATCTACATAACCTCATTGTCATGCAAATGACGTTGAAGATTACCGCTGTCTTTGTAGTGGAAAGTGTTAATTTCAGTTCAAAGGTTGTGTTTCTACCGGGAAAGATGTGATGGAGATAGAGGGAAGGAAGAGTAAGGAGGCAGGGATAGGGTCTGGTGGTGGTGGGGGAAAGCTGGTCTGGCTCTGCATCTCTGTTTCCTCCACGACACAATGTCTTAAGAGGATTTTCAGCACACGGCTTGCTTCACCTTTAAAATACGAAAGGAAGCACACAGCGCCACATTCGGTTTGTAAATGTCAGCTCTTGTTTTTCTCGTACCTCCTTACTCGTTCCCGCGGAGTCAGTCGGAGACCCCACCAAGTGTTTGTGTGCAAGTTACGACACAGCATCTAGGTTACAAAGATCCAGAGCCGCTTTAATCACAGATGTCAAACACAGACACTGACAGAGATCACAAAAAAAAAGTCAGCTTCACAAGTCAGGATCAGCCCGGAGTCTCAATTGGCTGAACTGAAGGGAACGCGATAACTCGAGACGGATACATGCGCATGTGGACGATTCGGCATCACCTCTTAACACTGGCCACGAGCACACGGACATCCGTGCATGCATGTATGGCTGCGGCCCCTGCGACTTCCTCAAATAATGGGGGCCTTTGTCATTTCATTGTGAGCACAAACACTAATAAAACGGTTGACAGCGCTGATGGGGCGAAAAAACAGATAGATAATGGGCTGATGAGAGAAAGAAAGCCATTCTGCTGGAACTGGTGGCATGTACAAATGGAGACCATGGCTCCTCTTCTAACAGCTCCACACTAGAGCGTGTGTGCCTGTCTTTATTGGGATCATACGTGCAGCAGTGTGTGTGCGTGCGCATATGCGTCCACGTCTGCTGAATCAAACAGAAGAATATTCATTGTACTCCTCAAACAGTGCCATTGTGATTCCCCCCCCATTCTTCTTTTTCTTGGCTAGCTGTTATTGCTGGGCCTCTCTCAATGTACATGAATGTGTGTTTGTGTGTGTCTGTGTCTGCGTGTGCAGTGGGTGACAGCATCGTGGACACTCCTGAAGACGAAGCGCCCACCCTCCTGTTGCGATCCCACCACTGGCGCTGTTTGTGCCGTTTAAGGCCCGCCCTCCGCTGGGGGGACAGGCAGCTCAAACGACGCTTGTCACAATCCCTTGTCGTCTTAAATGGCTGACAAACATCGGGCTTTTGCAATGGTTGGTGCATCACACAGGTTCCTTGTTGAGGAACCTTCCTTTTATAATTTCTATGTAAAACCACGTAGAGAGGATAGAGAGGACCGGTGAAGATAGGAATGACTGGGAACGTTAGCGAGATGTCGCAAAGATGGTGGCGGTAGAAGATTTCATAATTTCCACTGATAACATAAAGAGACTGAAAACCTTTTACTATATGAACAATTATCATGTGGATGTAACGTGATACGAGTGGAAATGTTTCGGCTCTCGGGGGGGCGACCAAGATAAGGAACGTGTGTGGAAAGCGAACCGGGACACCCAAAGACTCGATCCCTTTTTTCCCCCCCTGGCAAACAGGAGAAGGCAGCGAGAGCTTCAAAAATCACTTTTCAGACATCAAATAATTAATTGCTCTCCCCTCTTGCTCACCCACCCCTCCTTTTCTCCTGGCGTTTGTATGGAAGACGCAGCTCCAGTCACTTAAGGAGGGTTACCACCCGCCTAAATTAAATATTAAATGGTGTCTGTACCTGCTGCTATTGTTGCCCCTTGGAATAAGATATAACCTATTTTTGACAAGTTTTCATCCTCAGCCTTCTGCGGTGAGACGCTTGTCGAAAACCAAATCAGCGATTGGAGGGAGTGGTAGTGGGGCGTGGGGTGGTAGTGGGTGGTGGGGGCACTGATGAATAATCTAGTTCATATTCCAATGACACCCGCCGCTCAACGGGGAGAGAAAGAAAAGGGGATAGAGAGAGCAGGTGGAGAAAGAGATGGAGACGGACCGAGGAGGGGAAGATAAAAGCTTGGGGAAAAGTAAGGGATGAGTACAGAGGAGAGAAGGAGGGGGGGAAAGAAAGAGAGGGAGGAAAGGAGAAAGAAGGGAGAGATGATAGCCAACGTCTGCCAAGGTATCACATGACAGCGCTCCTGTTTAAATAATAAAACAGAACCGGGGCTCTAAACAAATCGTTATCTCCCACCTCCATGCATCCTGTCTTCCTTCCCTGCTCCCTCCCTCGCCCGTATTTTAAAAAAAAAAAGAAGAAGAAAAAAACTTGTTTTAATGCCATTTCTTAATGAACATAATAGCTCGACGCTAATAATGAAAAGAAAATAAAAACATCTAAAAACGCGGAGGGGCCCCCGAGTTGTCGCCGGCGCTCAATTATTTCCTTGTCAAGTGGGTCTGTTTTTAATGAGGCCCTGTGGGACTGACGTCTGTCAGTCAGCCCTGACTTTTTGACACCATTACAACTTCAAATAGAAGCCGCCGCCACGCTGCCTTCCACCGCTCACTCGCTAGCTACCGCTCCGCTCATCTGACAGGCTGGGAGGGGAGGGAAGGGAGGGGAGGACAGGGAGGAGGAGGAAAAGGTGGCAGGAGAGGTAGAGAGAAGGAGGGAGGGGGGCAGGAGAGACAGAGAGAGCACATCAGCACATAGGTAGGCTGAACATGCAGACACGCACAGACACACACTGTGCACGCTGACTGGGTAAAACCACAATCACTGAGGGTCATTACCAGATGAGGTTTGTTGTCAAACTGCCTGGGATTTAACCCCCCCCTCAGCACCCCCTACCTCCGCGCTTCCTCGTTCGCTTCCTTACCCGGCTCTTCTTCTTCTTTTTTCCTTCCTTCCTTCGTTTTTTTCATTATTGCTTCACTTTAATGATAACTCTTAGTGGGTCGGCCCCGCATGGGACGGTCAGAGACACACTATTTTGTTGGCCATTAATTTGAGGCTTTGAAGCAGACCACGGCGCCGCGGCTGGTGAGGGCCTGTGAAATGGTGGACGATAGCACGGGGTGGGGGAGGGTGGGGTGGGATGGTGGGATGGGGACTCCCCCGCATCTTCAAAAATGAAGACTATGACCCTGAAACAGAATAGCAAATGCCCTCACTGGGAACACCAACCACAAGAGACATACGCGCGCGCACCAGTGTGTGTTTCCATGCGTGTGCGAGCTTGTGGCTTGCATTAGCATTAGCCCCCCCCCCTCCAAACAAAAATAAAATTAAAAATGATCCAAATATGCTCTTAAATTTAGATTTTTCAAACGCCGTCCCCAAAGAATGGCTTTCCCCCCGAAGAATTAAACGCCGGTAAACTCAAGCACGCCTTTTTTTCAAACACCTGCAGATGCATCACATCATCACAAACACAGAAACAAGGGTCCCATCTCACACCTCCGAAGATTACATAGAAAATAAAGAACAAAAAGTACAAATTTTTAAACAAGCTAGATCCATTTATAGAAGAAAGAAATCAAGAAAAAAAAAAAGCCTTTAAGATGAAAGACTAGAAATACACATATTTCAGTTGGTCCTGGTGTACAGTCTGCATCAGAGAACCACCACAAATCAAGAAGAAACAAACATGTGATTAATGTTAATTCTGAATAATTTCAACATCACAAAAATATACACTTCCAACACAGAAATCTGAATGGAAACTCTACATTTATAAATAAATAGCAAGAGAGTCACTTAGTAAGAGCAAAAACACTATACATGATGTCCATTTCAATGTTAGTACATACAGTATGACGCTTATATTTGGGAATCAGTTAATGTAGTATGTATTTGGGAAGGGGTGATGTCCCAGATGTGGTTACAATGTCATTTGAAGCATTTCTCTTTGTTTCTGTGCTGTACTCACGGAGGCTGAGGTCAGGTCTCTTTTGCATTAAAATCCATTAAAAGAGCAATTTTTATTTAATATTCTTCAATCTCTAAATTCTCTAAAATAACCACTTTTTTGCTCCTGAAAACAAAAACTGCAACCAGTTTCCTCCTAATAATGAAAAAAAAACAAACAACCCAAAATACTTTCACCTTGATTCAATGAACACAAGCTGAACTAACCTCAACCTTTTTGCGTGCATCCTCTCTTTTCAAGGCAGCGCCACTTGTCTATTTTGGGCTCTGCTGAGCCTTTTAAAGCAGGAGTGTGAACAGCATATCTAAACTGAAGGCACTGTCCTCTGAGCTGTGCAGGGGTAGGGTGATTGGTGGGGAGAAGAACAGCTGAATCATTTAGTTACAGAAGCTAATACAGTATGTGTGCCTACTGTTGGTGTCAATAAGAAACGCAGTGCGGGCCCCCGTCCATGACTGTCACTCATGCATGCACACGTGCAAACCCACAGATGTGTGTAGAACTTCGGTTTCTCTCTGCCTTTCATGCATCCCCACACCCTGAATAACACCAAACCCACCTACACTACAAAAAAAGCCCTCCATTAAGTTACACAAGAAAAAAAATGACCAGGTTGCAAACCACGCTGAGGACGACACCATGAAAAATATTAACTATTATAAAAACATCTCACCCCGTTCTAGTCCCTGGAGATGTAAGAACGAGCCTGACAGGCAGAGGAGGAGGGGGGAAGGAGAAGAAAGTGAAAGAGAAAAAGAGAGTAAAAGGGAAGAAGGAGAACGGGAGAAAAAAGGGAAAGAAACTGCAAACAAAAAAAAGGAGTGAGAAATGGTAAAAAAAAAAAAAAAAAAAGCTTGCTGTCAGGCTTTGGAAATAGTGATTCATGGGGACCATTTGTCCTAATTACAGCAGAACAACGCTTTTGTCGCTATTAATCACAAGAGAGTGTGTGTGTATTTGCGTTTAGGGGGAGGGAGTGTGTGTGTGTGTATATATATGCATGTGCGTACAGGGGAGATCAGTGGCCTCGCACATTAAAATAGATGGCCAGGATGATGGTGAGGAGGATGATGGCTCCGAGGATGAAGACCAGGACCCGATTCTGGATGATCCTGCAGAGAGAAAGAACAGAGAAGGATTAGGAAAAGGTTCGCGGGTCTACGGAGAAAAGTCAACTGGAGCCTGATCCTGTTTAATTGTTACCATGAGGTCTGAACGCTTGGTTTTTAAATCGCTATACACTCGCTGGCACACGTCATAAAACCACAGCGTGACTGGATAAAACAATCGTGATAAGAGTGATTTGCTTACATATGTGTACCCTCTGTAAAAAACAACAACGCTGATTTGTGTACAGACATGAACATACAAATGCAAAAGAGACCAACACACTTATAAACAAGCATGACATGCAAACATATACACACACGCACACAAATAGCTGACAGGCTCTTAAACTTTATTTGCACAATAAAGTGGAAAAAGTGGCTCAGTAGTTTCCTGAAGGTAATAAAAAAAAAAAATCGCTGAATTACTGATGGAATTTGCCATAAAACGACTCACTCATTTGCTCATTTAAATTTTCCCACTGTGACCGAAGTAAAGTTGGTGTGGGGGAGTGGGGGCTTTGAACCAACCCCCCCCCAAAATAAATAAATAAATAAATAAATAAATAAATCACAAAAGTACCAGATGAGGAATGGAATGGAGTGAAGATGTGCAGAGCAAGGCATCTGGTAAGTGAGCAACTTATCTAGCATGTGTCCCCCAAATTCTCCAGAGTTTGCATCAGCACACATGCACTCACTCAGACACACACACACGGATTCCAAACCCTCCACTGCTCCTGACAAATGAGAGAATTATCACATTTGCTGACATGTGGAGGGGTGGAGGAGAGGCCGAGCAGGGGAGCACTGTCCACTTCTCTAAGCAGGAGATGAATAGCCCATGCTGTGGCCATTTATCACCGAGGGAGGGGAGGGCGCTGGCTGGTTGCTCAGTCACCCAGCTACCCTCTAAACTCCACGTCTGAGCTGACACACCAGTCGAGCTCGCGGCCTCCCTCTGGTCCACCAGCCCGCCTGGCAAAAGTCTCGACCGTTTGCTTAGCTTAAAGCGCAGAACTGATGAAGCTATTGAAGGGAAGGATGACAAAAATCCCACAGACAAGCTTTGATGCTTTACATCTTTGTATTTCCTTTTGCAAAAAGACTCTCGGCCGCATAACAACAAATTTTATCAACTGCTTTATATGAGATTCAGAGGATACTGTTACAAACTAAAAACAATATATAACCAATCGCCATGAACTTCTTTCCAGTAATAGGACACTTCTCTGACATGCTGTAATGCTCTCGCTAACACCAGAGAGCTCATTACAACTACTGTGTGTAAGCAGCACTGCTTTATAAGTAGACAGTTTATCCTTGAATAAATGCATACATTATTATGACACTGTCATATTGTTTATAGCAAACCATGTCCCGAACAACATAAGCAACAGCTATGGTATCCCTCCCCCACCCCACACACACCCACACGTGGCATTTTTTACCTCACTGCTGAGGTAAAAAAAATTGTAAAAAGAATAGTGACAGATAATACTATATTTGCCATATGCCTATAAGCTGAGGCAGTATTAGATGATATCATATGTTGTGATAGGCCAGTTTTATTCTGGTGTTTTGGATGAGGCTGACATGATTGGCTGAAGCCAGCTGGGGGAAGAGATCCCAGTGAAACACTAATCAGAGCATGCTTAGCAAGGACACGTCTCCCCCTATTAATTGACATTCATTATTTACAATGATTATTTATCCCAGTCAAATACCCAGAGGAGGCGCTTGTATGTGTGTGTGTGTGTGTGTATCTGTGGCAGTGTGTTAGAAGAAGCCAGCTCGCTTTGTGTTGTGCTAATTTTTCAGCTGGGGCGAAAAGAAGAAAAAAAAAGGGGGGGGGGGGGGGGGACTAGTAGAGGCTTGCAGTGGAGAAATGAACATAAAGTTAGTTTTAGCCTCGTGGAGGGGGGTTCAATTCTGTTAAAACGGCATTTATTAAAGGAGTCTGATTTGGTAGCAAACAACGTGGAATAACTTCAAACACTTAAATGTTCAAAGCAGTAAGGAATATGACAGTGCTGCGGTTTAAGAAGTTTTTTTCCCTCCCCCCTCTGGGGACACATCTTTTTTTTAAAAATGCATTATTTTGACCTTAACTGATCCTCTGTGCACCAATCTAACAAAACGTGTCTTGGAAGTATAAATGTAAAGCAGCACATATGGCAACTCCAACCTTTAAAGAGAAGATGGATATAAATTTTAGGAGTGGCCCGTCCAAAAATGTTAATGCTTTTTCCTCTTTTTCTGACACACACACACACACACACACACACACACACACACACACACACACACATACACACTAATGAAATAGTGCATGCTTATATGAAACATGGTCAAAGTTTCAAATAATTAGGTCAGCACATGTGAAAGCTAAAAGCTCGGGCATCACACTGCTCTCAATATTTGGTTTTAGGCAAGTTTTTTTCCACTCAAATCTTTCTGATGTCATAGAGCAGGGATATTCCCAATATTTTAACCTCAGGTGCTTCTGTTTGCAAGAGGCAGCCAATCAGAAACTTGGAGGGGGAACCATAAACAGTACATCTTTACTTTAATGCTTGCAATAGTTCACACAGACCGAGAAGATCCTGCAAAGCTTACGACCAAAGGTCAATTTAGACCAGATGACCTGAAGGGGGGCCGCACACACACACACATACACACAGATCTAGCTAGACAGATTGGAGGAATTAGTGTGTGGAGGTGCCGTCATAAATCACTTCACTGATGTTGAAAACTGTTTGAAAAATAGTGTCTGTGACACTGTAAAGAGCCACAGTTTTCCCCACTGACATATGAGCAGTGGGACATGAAAGTCAGCCATCACACTCTTTTAACCACTGCAGACCTAAGAAGGCTGGAAAATGACTACTTGGTTACATTTTACAGAGGATGGGGAAATTATTCTTCATCCATTTGAAACAAAAACACACAAACTGATGAAATTTCATACGTCAACCTATTTTTTTCTTTGTTTTTTTTTCCTTTTATAATAAGCTAACAAGTCAAATAAGGTACTAAAGCTACCAGAAACAACTACAATAAAACCTACCCTAAAAATATCCACACCCCAATACTCCCAAAAAAGAGAAGTAAAAAAAAAAATCCCCAAAACTGGGAGGTAGGAGAGTGAAGAACATGGTTTTCCTCTGCTATATAGTTGATCCCGCCCTGACACGTGGCCAGACAGAACAGAACTTATCAAACCGGATCCATCCTCCAGTTTTGACACTTGACATAGAGGTGGAGGGGGGCTAGGAGTGTGTGTGTGTGTGTGTGTGTGTGTGTGTGTGTGTGTGTGTGTGTGTGTGTGTGTGTAAGTGGAGGGAAGGATTTGGGGATGTGTGAGTGACGCAAAGACCGCAGGTACAAGGGTGTATCTGCTGACCCACATATGCACACTCCTACACACAGTGAGTTTGATACCTGATACTATGATCCTCAAGTATTTTCCTGTGTCGGTGCCCCGGTACGGTGGGGGGGAAAAAAGAAACACTCTCACGAAAACAGACCAACAGTAAATCTAACTAAAATGTCAGCCAATCACAGCACATAGTACTGGAAATGCTATTGGCTCCTTATGTTCCTTCATCGCAGACAGCCAGTCAGCTAACACCTTACTAAAAGGAAATAAACAGATTTACAGCACTAATCTAAGAGAGGCTGAAATATTCAGAGAGAGAGAGAGAGTCACAAAGATCGGAAACAGACAACAAAGCAGCTGAAAGACAGAAAGTGTGGAAAAAGCAATAGAGAGGTGGAGAGAAAGAGGAGAAAGAGGGAGAGCGCGAAAGGTCCGTTTACCCGGGGAGGCAAAGCTGGAGAGGCTCCTCGGAGACAGATGAAAATAATGAGGACTTTTCTGTCAGGAAAGATTTACAAAATCGTACCAGTGTTATTAAAATTTAAAATCTCCCTTTTTTTTTTTTCCTTTTTCTCCCTTCCCACCCTCTTCCTCCCTCCCTCTCTTCCTTTCCCTGTTTTTTCCCCTCCTTTTCCAGCAGCACAGCCTTATTACCAGCTTTAATGAGCACCGGGATACACCTCAGCTATGTGTGTGTGTGTTGAGGTCCAAGTCCCTAGTGCCAGCTCCATCAGCACCTCAGATTCCCCCAATACCTTAAATGACACACGCATGTGTGTGTGTGTGTGTGTCTGACACATGTGAACACAGACATGCAGCTTTTGATGGCTCACAGAGGTGGCTGGACATGAACACACACACACACACACACACACACACACACACACACACACACACACACACACACACACACAACCTTCAGACAGACGGAAAGACAACAGCCCCTACCCCAAAACAAAAACATTCTCTGTGAGACAGACATAAGCGGATAGGCCCATCCCACCTGGAGACACACACACACACACACACACACACACACACACACACACACACACACACACACACACACACACACACAGCCCACTAAGAGCAAACTTAGCTGCGGAGTTGCATCTCTCAGGCCCTCCCCTATCCCACCTCTTTCCACTAGTAGACCAATAAAATAAAAATCAATTGCTGTCTGAGCCATTCTGGCTCTCCTTCCAAACCCTGGGAATATACAGCATGGGAGAGGAGGAGGGGATTGGGGGGGGGGGAGGATCAATGTGCTCACAAATGGTTTGAGTGATGGACACGGAGGTGAAATGCTGGTGGGGGTAAGTCCTAAGTAATGCCTCGACTTGTTATCACAAACTAATACGAATAAATGTTTCATTGTGGAGGCACACACGCTTGCTCACACACACATACACACAGCTGCTCTCGGTCTGGGGCTCAAACTTAAACCGGCCACATCACACACACACACACACACACACACACACACACACACACACACACACACACACACACACACACACACACACACACGACAAAAACAAAAGGTTGAGCCTGGCCTGCAAACAATATAGGTTGAGAGAAGGCGGGAAAAACGTGCAATGTTTCAATCGCAAATGAGATGAGG